GTTCTTGTATTCCTTTTTTTAATGCTAGTTAGTAGAGGCTTAACCATAATGGAAATGCTGGAAGTCTGGAGGGGGTGGGAGAGGGGAACTGATAGCTCCCAAGATTAACCTTCACTTTTTAAAAATTATTGTACATGTGATTTTTTTTTCCTGTTCATACATTTGTGCTGCCCATGTATTCTTGGCACATTTCAATAAAATTGTTTGGAAAATAAATTTAGCACTTGCTGGGAAAAAAAAAAAAAACAGTTAAATACCACAGGGAAAGTCCTATCATGGCAAAAATTGAACCTAGTATGGTATACGCTTGGTTTGTGTATACAATCCACTATATATAGTCAAGTACAAATAAAATTCACACAAATTAAAAATAGGGGTCTGATAAATGAAACTGCATGCATGCCAACATTTATTCATCTTGATCGTGAACAACAGAAGCGTTCTCCTCAGGCCGCACTGGCCTAGATGCATGCGTAGATACAGAGATACAAATACATTTTATGGATTTGAGTTGTTAATATCTGATTCATGTTTCCCACCTAGATTTTTGGAGATAGTAGATTGTGATGTCTATTGTCTTGTCCTTGTCAGTCACTGGGTAGGAAGGTCATTCTGGGCTCAGAATGGAAATGTTCATAGCATTGTTCTTTTCTGAAAAATGTGTCATTTGTGTTACTTCTTCCATCTTTGTGTCAAACATTCAAACACACATTCATATTTCATTGTGGGTAGTTTTGTTTAAAAAGATGTTTCTGCTTTATGAAATGAACTTAAAACATTCAGGGTTTTTTTTTGTGTGTGTACTGTCATTGTTATTCTGAGTTTATTTTTATTTTTGTTGTTTGATTTGGTTTGATTTCTGATTTTAGAATGAACCCAGGGCTTTGGCAAGGGCTACATGTATCCAAAACCTTTTGTTTCATTCGTTCGTTCGTTCATTCATTCATTCATTCATTCAGTCAATTAAACAGGATTTAAGTTGCTAAACTGTGTAGGCAGAGTATAGTGGAATCCTCCTACCTTAGCCTCCTAGAATGCTGGAATAATGTTTTGCATCTTACATTCAGCCAGATCTTTTTTGTTTTGTTTTGTTTTGTTTTCTTTTCTTTTCTTTTTGTGGTACCAGGGATACAACTTGGGACCTTGTGCTTACCAGGCAGGTACTTATGTTGCTGAGCTATCTCCCCAGCCCTTTCATTTCTTTTAGCATGTTTTAGTATCTCACTTTAAAGAATTACTTCCATTTGCCTTGTAGAACTTGATATCAAGAAGAAATTTAAAGCATGTGTTTTGCTGTCCTTTATTGTTGCAGGGTCAGTAATACTAATTTCCCTATCATTTCTATTTTAATTTATTCATTTATTCATTAGGGGTTAATTATGTAGCTCTGTTCCAGAGATCATGCTTCTATCACTCCTAACTTGCTTTATTATTTGTTCTTTCAAATATATTTATTTTCACTCTTAATTATTTCTTTCATTTTATTATTTTGGAGTTTATATCTTTTGACTTTATGAGTTAAAAGCAGAGGTCATTGTTATTATGCATTTCTTATTTTCTTAGTCATTTAAAGTTATTACTTTGCTTCTCCACATTGATATTGACACAGATCACAGATTTTAGTATGCTCGCCTTTTTCATTTATATTTAGTTGACAATATTTTCACCTTTAATTATCATTGTTTGACTCATGGGTTATTTAGAAACTTACTTGGTTTGCAAATATCTGAGAACTCTGTGGATATTTAAACATTATTGTCTACTACGTTAAATGCTTAGATAGCATTGTGTACATGATTTGAAATTTTTTGAAATATTTTTGTGTTTAAGAATATGGCTAGGCATGGTGACACACACTGTAATCCCAGCCCTCGAAAGGTGAGGCAAAAGCATTACAGTGCATGAGGCCCAGCTAGCCAGGGCTTCCCAGCATGACTCTGTCTCGAAAGAAGAGAAGAGAAGAGAAGAGAAGAGAAGAGAAGAGAAGAGAAGAGAAGGGAAGGGAAGGGAAGGGAAGGAAAAGGAAAAGGAAAAGGAAAAGGAAAAGGAAAAGGAAAAGGAAAAGGAAAAGGAAAAGGAAAAGGAAAAGGAAAAGGAAAAGAAGGGCCGGTCTGATAGCTCAGCACACTGAAGAACCTGCCAGGGTTTGATCTCTGGCGTGCAGTGCCGGCACTGCCTGCAGGGTGCGCTGTGACAGCGATTGAGACTGGGTGTGGTGGTGGGTGCCTGTAATCCCAGAGTTTGGGACACTGAAAACAGGAGAATCATTATGAGTCCGATCTACATAGTAAGACCCTGTAGAGCCTGTCCTAAATACAGAAAAAAAAGAAAGAAAAGACCAACCAACAAACACAAAATACCAAGAATATGTGTGAAAACATTCAATAGGCATTCAAAAGTTTATTTTCTCTCTGGATTTTGATCAACATAGTCTGTATATGTCAATTAGGTCAAGCAGGTTGATACTGTGGTTTAACTCCTTTATATACTCATTTTTATTCACTAACTAATTCTATTAATTATTAAAACAATGTGTCAAAATATCCAGTTATCTTTGATGGTTCATCTGTTTCCCCTTTAGCTCTAACACCCGCTTAGTGAATTTTGATTACCTTCTCTCAGGTAAATCCGTACTCCGAACTGTCATGTCTGTCTGATGAACTGCTTCGTGCATCTTTATGAATTTTTTTTCTCTTAGTACTTTTGTCACAAAGTCTACTTTGTCTGGTATTCACTTATCTGTAAAAGGTGTAGACGTTTCATTCTTGGTGCATGCAGAAATTATTCTTTAATTCTTTAAATTGAACTAGTCTTAGTATTTAAATGTAAAACATCCTTCCTACAGAAAGAAGAAGGATCCCCCCTTTTCACAGCATAACAAGCATTGCATTTTATTTTGAACATTATTTAGTTCAGTTGCCTTTAATGAAATTGCTGATATATCTGAATATAAATGAAAAAAAAAAGTATTTTCAACTTGTCACTTCTGATTTTGTTCATCTATTGCTTCTTTAATGACTTGTTTGCATTCATTAGAAGTTTTTAGTTATTATTTTATTTCCTCTATTAGCTTCTTACCTAGCACTAACAATAATATATTTTACCTCATTAGAATCTAGTAAAATTTTTGAAATTGTCTTCATGACATTTCTCATCTCCCGCATCACACTCACAATTTCACAATATGACAAAAGGACATTTTAATGTCCTCATTCAATGCTACCTTTTCCTCCTCACAATGAGTTCATATTACAATCCATAATTTATATTACTATGCTATTTACTTAGAGGGTCAATTTTCTTTTAAATAGTTCTTTTTTTTTTTTTTCCAGGAACCGGGGATTGAACTCAGGCCCTTGCACTTGCCAGGGAAGCACTTATTTCATGGAGCCATCTCTCCAGCCCCTCTTTTAAATAAATTAGAAGGAAGAAAACACCTCATGTTCCATTTATCCATTTTCTTACAAATCCCAAGTAAAATAAAAAGATAAATTATAAAAGTAATTGTAAGTCTTAGAAGAATATTGTCTATTTGACTGACTGGGGTATATAATGGCTGAGTGTCTGATATCTGAGAGCAGAGGAAAAATGAGTTTGATTTGAGAGAGAATTGAGGACAATCCTGCTCCAAGAGGATTACAACTTGTAATTGTACAATCCATACGATTACAGCTTAGGTTCATGCAGTACCAAAATGTGTCTCTTCAAGAATCTGGAATAAGTTGCTTATGTCATTAAATGCCCATGTCTTGTACCCTTGAGTAACTAATTTAAAGATAACAATACCAAATGTGTTAATCATTGTTATTTTCTTATTATCTTTTTTGAAATTTTGATTACTTTTTCTGCGAATAATAAAATTTAGAATAAGAATGTAGAGAAAATAAGAAATATATAAAAATAAAGTTCCCATGCCCATAAATTTTATTTCTTTATTTTTAATTAATTCATTATTTTTAAAAAATTTGGTACAGGGTCTACAGTGTGTACAGGGTCTCACTACCTAGATCGGACTTGTAGTGATTCTCCTGCTTTCAGACTCCCAAGCACTGGGATTACAGGCATGTGCCACCCCTCCCAGTCTCAATTTCAGTCTCAGCAAGCCCTTCAGGTGGGGCTGGTAGGGCAGGCCAGGGATTGAATCCCAGGTGCTGTGCTCTGACTAAGCAAGTGCTTTAGTCTGCTGAGCTATTAGGTGGGCTCTCCCATGGTTATAAATTTTAAAAAGCACAAAACTGATTTTAAGCCCTTGGGGAAAAGGGGAAAGTGCTAACTCATTTCCCCACTACCAGAAATTATGCAGTTGAGTTTCCCATATTTGGGGACATCGCAGAGGTCAGCACATCCACAGTACAGTGTGGACAAGCCTCACCCTGGGAAAACCACCTTCATGATCTTGGTATCTCCCTTGCCAGGTAAGTATAAACAACTACAGCTGTTATATAT